CAACCTGGAATAGAAGTTTTGACAGCGTTGAAATTCTAGTGTTGGAAAGCCTTGCGGCCCGAGCCCTGGAGCTCAGAATTGTCAAAGAATCAATATATCTTAAAAGGCCTGGAGTCCCGGAATGCTGGAAGCATCCTTGAATACAGTATTGGGCACCCTGACAGGGCATGTCGGCATGTTTTTCATAGAACCTGGAACACGGCTTAGAGCCTCGGAACGAGAATCTCACGCATACATTTGTTTGGATTTGTGCCTGCGAAAAATCTTTAGTTTTGCTTTCTGTGACCGCCACATCCTTATCTTAAAAGTGGGCGCGCTGCTTGTTTAGGATGCTGGAAGCCTTCCCGTTCGGACAATCTATATACTTTTGACGGCGCTCTCCCGGCCTAGCCTATATAGTAGTTGGGTTGCAAAGCTGGAGTAAGAAGCGTGGAAGTTGCCCACCCCGCCTCCGCGCTATCACAGCCTCGCAGGAGCAGTGAATGAAACTGACTGTGACAAGGCTCGGATGGTTCTGGTGATTCCTCACGGAGCTTCCTAGAATTTCCTGGGTTTGGCCATGGATACAAACATATACAAACCCAGCTCCAAATTGAGAAGCAACCGCGAAAAGACTAAAAATACTGCGTGTACCAATGCAACCAAATGTCAGCGAGGAGGGCGAATCTGCTGGCCGAAAGCATCGCAAAGATTCGCAAAAAGATTATTGTCGTGCAATTTTTTTTCGGAAATCCCCTCGAAGGCCAAAGGCCCCAGTGACATATTTCTAGGTTTTGTGGCCAATTCCGCCTTTACATTTTGAAGTCAGCAAATGTGCTGAGAATGACCGGTAAGGTGCCTAGAACTGCGCGTGTTGATGCAAAATTCGTCTGTGAGTTTGAGTCCGTTGGCAAGGTTTGTCCTTGCCAGCACTCGCTCTTGAACCACATGGTAGGTGCAAGCAGCCCGGGCCAACATGAAAAAACCGGAAGTACAAAACTGCCACCTCTATCACAAAAGAAGGGAAACTGTCAGGGTCATGGACAGCCATGATCAATCTATGATCTCACACCATTCACACATGCGCGGTCAAACAAAAAGTTCAAGTGAAAACCCAAACTTGCCCTAGGCCGTTGGGTGCTGAAGGTGTGCCAGCACCGCCTGAGACGTTTGAATAGGTGTGCATACATATGTTTTAAATATGATACCTGCACGACCATATATGTATATTTGTATGTCTAAAAATGACAAATAAAACCATACTAATTGCTAAAATAGTCTTATAGTCTTATACTTAATTGTTCCAAAATATTCAACAACAATATGTTTTGACACCTGCTTGCCTTGCGAAATAGGAACCGTGACAAATTTGAACGTGCGGAACCATCCAAACAAATCCGATTTTTTTTGCGGCGATCCCTCCGCCACAGACGCAACACAAGATCGAACGGTATTTTGAAAGAACTTCTTTCACATCCATGATGTTTCCGTACCTACGCATTTCGGAACTTGTCCCATTATCATACGTGTGAGGATTCAAACTCGTGGGCTGCATCTTGTCTTGGTGCGAGGATTTTTTGGGAAAAATGGTCGCCAGATAAAAAATTGAGTAAAAGATATTGATTAAGATTTAGAATTTTAAGAGAAAATGAGTTTCGGTGGTATCCCTAAAAGCCGCATGTTTTTTTCTCCCAAATCTTTCTGAAGGGTGCTGCGGAGTTGAGGGCTGCAAACTCCTTAGGTCGGTTTCCGCGAATAAAAATCCGCAAATCTTGTTGAACCTGACCTGGCTGTACCAAAGCCTCCAGAACATTCTCCAGAACCGTGTTGAAGCTGACCTGGCTTCGCACCAAAGCATACCCGAATCTTCTCCCAAACTCTCCCTGACCTGGTTTTGCACAAATCCTCCCACACCTTCTCCGGTTTTTTTTCTCCGGAACCTTCTCCGGAACACTGTTGAACCTGGCGCTGCACAAAGCATCCCAGACAGTCTCCGGAACCCTGCTGACTTTGACCCAATCCCCTCACACACACCGTGTTTCTACACAACATACCTCACACAATGAACAAACTGACGCCATCTCTGGACACAGCTGACTCGCACAGAAAAGCTCTCACACACACCTGTCTAGACAAACATCAAACACACAATTCATCCAAGCACACAACTTACTGTACCGACAAACGGAGAAATCTGCAAAAAAAAGGCCGTCAAGCACGTGGCGGCATCAAAGTGCGTTCTGCATGGCAATATCAAGGTTGGAACACTCTTTTATTAACCTGCATTTTGGGCGCCAGGAACGGCAGCTGCGAGGCATCAAAATTTGCCCTTTGGGTTGGTCGGAAATTCCAAACCAAGACCGCGTCTGAAACTGAGTTGGTCCCGCGATTGTTTTGCGAAAATCAGTGAGTGGATGCCAATCGAAGCATGGGTGCACTTTTCTCTATTCAAGCGAACTTGCTCGAAAAACTTTGGCCATGCAGCAGCCTTCAGAGCTGCTACTGGGGTTTGGCCTATCACCTCTACATGGCCATTTAAAGGCATTTTGATCCCTACATGGCCATTTAAAGACATTTTGATCCAAAAATCAGATCCAGAGGTTCACAACGTTTCTTCACACACCGTTTGGGCTCAAAGAAGTTTAGGAGGTTTTGCCTCCTCCATCCCTTCCAGCCAACCAACACTGTCATCATCTGCCCTAATGGCCAAAGCCCTGCTAACCGTAGGTACAAATGAGGCGCGGCCAACGAAAACGAGATCTGAACACCGATCGAAGTGCCTAGATCTTTCATCAAGGACTTTCGATGTCTTTCTTGCACCTTATGCAAAACAGACTGTGTCCGGCCAAACTCCCATTCTTTGTGATATGGGAGAATAAGCCTTGATGACATGTCATGGCGAGCAACAGAGGGTGGTTGCTTTGGAAATCGTGATAAAACTGCATCTGCATAAGGCGCGCCAAACCTTGCAGAGAGCAACCGTTTAAGATGTATAACTTCGAGATGAAACAGTGACTTCGTGTTACACAACCTTTTAGCTCGAGTTAACAATCCTTTAGGCCAAGCAACATGCACATTAGGGCTGTGTGCAGAATGCGGCGCTAAAGGTTGGTGAAGTCCAGTAGGTTTGTGGTGAATACCTACATCAAGTAAACCGCTAGATCTCCACTTAGCACCCTTCGCTATGTTCAAATCCAAAAAGTTGCAGGCAGAAGAACTTACGTGCTCAACTTCCAAACTCCACACGGAGCTTTGCTCACGCAAGGAGGTAAAAAAGTTGAGTCTAGAAACACAGGTGCCTCCAAGGATGATCAGAATGTCATCCTTGAACCGCACATAAAGATCAATGAAATGCTGCCGCAAAAGCTCAGGGTTGTCAATTATGCCCCCTTCAACTGAGGCATAGAAAGTGAAATCAGCTCGGAAAACCCCAGCCCCATTCCGGAACCCTTCAATGCTTTCCAAAGGCGAGTATGTTGGTTTTCAACCTCAATAAATTGGGTCTCCAACAAGTATTGAAGGACCGGTTTGTAGAAATGCCGCCATTTGGAACCACAAATTCGACACTATGGCGGATGAAATCGGAATGAAGTCCTTCAATGAAAAGCTCCTTTACATCAACTTTAAAGAACCAACAGTCAGAGGGAACTCGTAATGACCCTAGCTTCCTCACTAAAGCCTCACTGTCTTTCAGCAAATGCTCTAAAGAAGAAAGGGTCGGTCTCAAACATGAGACAATAAAAGAAATCGCACTGCTAAATGAGCTTTTAACGTTGGAATGAATTCCCCGTCAAGAAACTTTATCAGTACCTTTGTGGGTTTTAATCGTGCATTTCAGTCTAGAAACAACATTTTTTACCCTCCCTTTGACGGAATGCAGAACGGAACGCAGGAAAAAGAGTTTTTCCTCTTCACCCAAATGGCCCGGTAAATTGTAACAAACAACATCAACAAAACCACGAACAACGGAAACACAAAAATCAAGTGGCCGAGAAACTTCACAATAACGTTGAGGGTTGCTCAATATTTGCAACATCTCAGGTAGCACTTGGTTTTTGGCTACCAGCGCGAAGCCCCCATCTTTATCAACTCGGATGGCTTGGTAAGGTCCGTCTTTTAAAAGTCTTAAGCCTAACTTTATGACACCAAAACAATTGTAAAAATTCCGCCTGGCGTGTTTCGTGCGGCCACGTGTTTTCAAAACTTCCGGGGAAAAAAAACTTCACTCCGGATTTCAAGGCAGAAATCTTGAAAAGAATCCGGAAACCTGGCGTCGCACAGTACAACATCATCTTCTAACCCTCAAAAATTGCCAGGGATTTGGAGGATGGCTTGCCAAAGCCAGTCGCCACCTCAGCCGATTTTCCCACTCATAGAGTAACCGCCCCACTTTTTGAAGCGAAACCCTACGTTTGCTTTCCTTTGCGTTGCAAAACGTGTCTGGGATGGTGGAAACGTGGAAAATATTCTAAAAGCCAAGGGATGCCACCAGGAGGGAAAACAAGAGCCGATCTTTCCACGTGGTCATATACATACACGATCGGGTTTTTCTGACCACAAGACAGCAAAATTCGAAATTCATGCAAAGGCATGTCACTCACTAAGGACCCGAAAAGGCGAGTGGAAGATCTTTGCAGCCATGTTTCTTTCATAGCCACCTTCCTCTCCCGCTGCCATTCCAGTAATTTGTGCCGCTTCCTTTGTGCCCTCGTCCTTTGCCTTTCGATGTTGTCGCCCCTTTGTTGTTCGAAGTGCCTTTGCCCCCCCTTGCCGGGGGCTAACCCGTTTTTTGGCAACAAATCGTTTCCAGGTGATGATTTGCCTTTGCCCTTGCTCTTTCCCTTGCCTTTGTGCATCGTTTTGCCTTTGCCTTTGCCCGTGCCTTTGGGCCTTCGGGCAAAGACTTCTGAGATCCCTTGCCTTTCTCACTCTTGCCCATGCCATTTACCACTTTCTTGGGTTGATTTTTTGAAGAAATAAAGCCCGCTGCAATGGACTCATCCACCATTCCAGCCATACCCTCAACAGCCAAACCAGGTTGGTTGATGTCCTTTTGCAGAAGGCTTTGCTTTCAGCTTGGCCTTTGAAATTGCAATGCCGGAATCGATGGCATCGATGAGAAACTGCTCAGGAGACTGATTCACCACTTGTCGCACAACTGCTTCATACCTTTTGCGATTTGCAGTTTGTTTTTCTACTTCCAAACGTTTGGTTTCAATTTGAGCATCCAAAATCTCGCGATAAATCGCCAGAAAATTCGCGTTGTATTGGTCATACGCGATGCCACGCTCAGCTAATCCAGTGCGATCCTCTGCGTCAGATTCTTCCAAATCTAGAAAAGCTGCTGCCGAATCACCATTGGGGCCTGATGGAAAATTTTGCACGCACCTTTCAACAAATACCTCTTTCCGGATGTGGGTTTTCAATTGTGCTCGGTGTTTCTCCAAAAGTTGGAACTCCAATTCACACTGGGGCTGCACATGTTCAAGGTGAAAACGTTTCTTTGCTTCCCTCACAGAAATACTTGCGTCAACTTGTCTGGAAATTTCATCTTGCAGAACCAAATCGTTTAACAAGTGTGTTTCAAAAGCGTGCGGAAAAACTATATATCCTGGTGGTAAATGGCCTTCGCGCAGCTCTGTGATGTCCTTCTGCAGTTTTTCCCTTTTCGCGTTTCTGCGCTGTAAGCCTTTGATCTTGTTTGAAACGTCCAAAGATACAGCTGGCGCCAAATAGCGACCAAGTTCAGCATCAATCAGAACTGCAATCGTGGAAGATACAGGCTGTTGAACTGCTTCAGTCCCTCGATGTCCTTGTGGACTGCGACTACGCCGTGGAACATTGCCAGCAACACTTGCTGGTTGATGCAACTGCCGTCGTGGTTGACGGGCAGATTGGGGGATGACTATTGCCACCACCATCGACGTCCACGCCGGTGGCACCACTAAGAATGAGTTTAACAAAGCAAAAACCAGTGAGTGGATGCCAATCGAAGCACGGGTGCACTTTTCTATATTCAAGCGAGTTTGCTCGAAAAACTTTGGCCATGCGCCATGCAGCAGCCTTTAGAGTTGCTACTGGGGTTTGGCCTATCACCTCTACATGACCTTTCAAAGGCATGTTGGCCCAAAAATCAGATCCAGAGGTTCACAACGTTTCTTCACACACCGTTTGGGCTCAAAGAAATTTAGAAGGTTAGAAGGTTGGAAGGTTTAGAAGGTTTAGAAGGCTTAGAAAGTTTAGAAGGTTTAGAACGTTTAGAAGGTTTAAAAAGTTTAGAAGGTTTAGAAGGTTTTTGAAGGTTAGAACATTCTCCAGAACCGTGTTGAACCCGACCTGGTTCTGCACCAAAGCATACCCGAACCTTCTCCCAAACCTTCTCCGGAATCCTCTGGCCCTAACATGGTTTTGCACAAAATCCTCCGACACCTTCTTCGGATTTTTTTCTCCGGAACCTTCTCCAGAACCCTTTTAAACCTGGCTCTGCACAAAGCCTCCCAGACAGTCTCCGGAACCCCGCTGACTTTGACCCAATCCCCTCACACACACCGTGTTTCTACACAACATACCTCACACAATGAACAAACTGATGCCATCTCTGGACACAGCTGACTCGCACAGAAAAGCTCTCACACACACCTGTCTAGACAAACATCAAACACACAATTCATCCAAACACGCAACTTACCGACAAACAAAGAAATCTGCAAAAAAAATTGCCGTCAAGCACGTGGCGGCATCAAAGCGCGTTCTGCATGGCAATATCAAGGTTGGAACACTCGTTTATTAACCTGCATTTTGGGTGCCAGGCACGGCAGTTGCGAGGCATCAAAATTTGCCCTTTTTGGGTTGGTCGGAAATTGTAAACCAAGACCGCGTCTGAAACTGACTTGGTCCCACGATTGTTTTGCGAAAACTATTGAGTAGATGCCAATCGAAGCACGGGTGCACTTTTTCTCTATTCAAGCGAAATCGCTCGAAAAACTTTGGCCATGCAGCAGCCTTTGGAGCTGTTACTGGGACTTGGCCTATCACCTCTACATGGCGGTCCAAAGGCATTTTATCAAAAAATCCGATCCAATTGTTCACAACGTTTCTTCACACACCGTTTGGGCTCAAAGAAGTCTAGAAGGTTTTGCCTCGTCCACCCCTTCCAGCCAACCAACACTGTCATCATCTGCCCTAATGGCCAAAGCCCTGCTAACCGTAGGTACAAATGAGGCGCGGCCAACGAAAACGAGATCTGAACACCGATCGAAGTGCCTAGATCTTTCATCAAGGACTTTCGATGTCTTTCTTGCACCTTATGCAATACAGACTGTGTCCGGCCAAACGCCCACTTTTTGTGATATGGGAGAATAAGCCTTGATGACATGTCATGGCGGGAAACACAAGGTGGCTGCTGTGGAAATCGTCATAAAACTGCATCTGCATAAGGCGTGCCAAACCTTGCAGAGAGCAACCGTTTAAGATTTCGTGTTACGCAGCCTTTTAGTTCGAGTTAACAATTCTTTGGCCAAGCAACATGCACATTAGGGCTGTGTGCAGAATGCGGCGCTAAAGGTTGGTGAAGTCCAGTACGTTTGCGGTGAATACCTACCTGAAGTAAACCGCTAGATATCCAGTTAGCACCCTTCGCTATGTTCAAATCCAAATAGTTGCGGGCACAAAAACTTACGGACCCAACTTCCAAACTCCACACGAAGCTTTGCTAACGCAAGGAGGTTAAAAAAAATATTGACTCTAGAAACACGGGCGCCTCCAAAGATGATGAGAATGTCATCCTTGAACCGCACATGAAGATGAATGAAATGCTGCCGCAAAAGCTCAAGGTTGTCAACTATGCCTCGTTCAATTGAGGCATATAAGGTGAGATCAGCTAACTCCCCGGAAAACCCCAACCCCATTCCGGAACCCTTCAAAGTTTTCCAAAAACGAGTAGGTTTGTTTTCAACCTCAATAAATTGGGTCTCCAACAAGTATGGTAGGACCGGTTTGTAGAAATGCCGCTTTTTGGGGTCCACAAACTCGACACTATGGCGGATGAAATCGGAATGAAGTCCTTCAATCTTCAATGAAAAGTTCCTTTACATCAACCTTCAAGAACCAACAGTCAAAGGGAACCCGTAAAGACCCTAGCTTCCTCACTAGAGCCTCACTGTCTTTCAGCAAACGCTCTAAACAAGAAAGGGTCGGTCTCAAACATGAGACAATGAAAGAAATCGCACTGCTAAATTAGTTTTCACGTTGGAATACATTCCCTGCCAAGACACTTTAACAGTTGCTTTGTGGGTTTTAATCGTGCATGTCAGTCTAGAGACGGCATTTTTTACACTTCGCTTGGCGGAATGCAAAACGGAACGGGGGAACCTTTTTTCCTCTTCACCCAATGGCCCGGCAAATTGTAACAAACAATATCAACAAAACCACGAACAACGGAAACACAAAAATCAGATGGAAAAAAAATCGCTGAAAATGGACTCATCCATCATTCCAGTCATAACTTGAACAGCGAAATCAGGTTGGTTGATGTCAAAGGACTGGGTACTCCTGCCGGTGGGTTTGCCTTTTGCACAAAGCTGTGCTATGGATGGCATAGATGAGAAACTGCTCAGGAGACTGATTCACCACTTGTCGCACAACTTTTTCATACCTTTTGCGATTTGCAGTTTGTTTTTCTACTTCCAAACGTTTGGTTTCACCTTCAGCATCCAAAATCTCGCAATAAACGCTCGAAAATTCGCGTTGTATTGGTCATACGCGATGCCACGCTCAGCTAATCCAGTGCAATCCTCTGCGTCAGATTCTTCCAAATCTAGAAAAGCTGCTGCCGAATCACCAACGGGGCCTGATGGAAAATTTTACGCGCACCTTACAACAAATGCCTCTTTCCGGATGTGGGTTTTCAATTATGCTCTGTGTTACTCCAAAAGTTGGACCCCAATTCACACTGGAGCTGCAAATGTTCAAGATGAAACCGTTTCCTTGCTTCCCTCACAGAAATACTTGCGTCAACTTGTCTGTAAATTCCATCTTGCAGAACCAAATCGTCTAAGCAGTGTGTCTCAAAAGCGTGCGGCAAAACTCTATATCCTGGTGGTAAATGGCCCTCTCGCAGCTCTGTGATGTCCTTCTGCAGTTTTTCCCTTTTCGCGTTTCTGCGCTGTAAGCCTTTGATCTTGTTTGAAACGTCCAAAGCTACAGCTGGCACCAAATAGCGGCTAAGTTCAGCATCAATCATAACTGCAATCGTGGAAGATACAGGCTGTTGAACTCTTTGTGGACTGCGACTGCGCCGTGGAACATTGCCAGCGACACTTGCTGGTTGATGCAACTGCCGTCGTGGTTGACGGGCAGATTGGGGGATGACCATTCCCATCACCATCGACGTCCATGCCCGTGGCACTACTAAGAATGAGTTTAACAAAGCAAAAACCAGTGAGCGGATGCCAATCGAAGCATGGGTGCACTTTTCTCTATTCAAACGAGTTTGCTCGAAAAACTTTGGCCATGCAGCAGCCTTCAGAGTTCCCACTCGGGTTTAGCCTATCACCCTTACATGTCCATTCAACGGCATTGTGATCCAAAAAACAAATTCAGGGTTTTACAACGTTTCTTCAAACACCGCTTGGTTGTCAACGAAGTTTCGAAAGGTACAAGATTAGAAGGTTAGAAAGGTTAGAAACCTTCGAAAAAATAGAAAAGTAAGAAGAGTTGGAAGGGTTAGAAGGGTTAGAAGGGTTAAAAGGGCTAGAAGGGTTAGAAGGGTTAGGACGTTTAGTAAAGTTTAGAAGTTCGAGCAGGTTTAGCAGGTTTAGAAGGTTTGAAGGTTAGAACATTCTCCAGAACCGTGTTGAATCTGACCTGGCTCTGCACCAAAGCATGCCCGAACCTTTTCCCAAACCTTCTCCTGAATCCTCTGGCCCTAACCTGGTTTTGCACAAAATCCTCCCACACCTTCTCCGGATTTTTTTTCCAGATTTTTTTCTCCGGAACCTTCTCCGGAACCCGTTTGTGGACACAGCGACTCGCACAGAAAAGCTCTCACACACACACCTGTCTAGACAAACATCAAACACACAATTCATCCAGACACACAACTCATGCATTTCATGCTGGGAGCACTCTTTCATTAACCTGCATTTTGGGCGCCAGGCACGGCAGTCGCAAGGCATCAAAGTTTGCCCTTTGGGGTAGTCGGAACTTCCAAACCAAGACCGCGTCTGAAACCGACTTGGTCCCGCGATTGTTTTGCGAAAACCATTGAGTAGATGCCAATCGAAGCACGGGTGCATCTTATTTTTTTTCTGTTGTGCGCATTGTGCGACTTTTCTCATGTAATACCAAAGAAGGCAATAAGTCTCCGTTTGATTGGTTTTTGCAAGGCCCTGGTTGCTGGCAGCATGTTCAGTACGGCACCCTGTTAGTTTCAAGCAAACACGCAACCATTCTGGGCTGCCACATTTCAACATTTCCACGAGAACCCCACTTGGGTCAATTTTTGGTTTTCCTTCACGACTCGAATTGTTTTGGTGAATTTGTCCCTCTTGAATTTTGATTTAATTTTACGATACCATCAAATTGTTTTTTATTCTCGTGGCCTTGCAGCAAGTTGCGTTCCATGAGCAACTAGACTATCCCTCACAGTGTGCTGTTTTCAAATGTTTGTTCATTCATATCGCGGCACGGCTCGACCATGCGCACTGGTCAATTTCAAAATGTTTCCCAACTATTAACCGAATTCAGTTGGCGTTGGTTGCTCTTCAATCCTCCATACTTGCTTGAGAACGGGCATGTGTGTATTTTTTTAACCGGTCCAAACATTGGAAGGAAATTCTGAAATTTAGGATTTGGATAAACTGTGTGACTGAGTCCATCAGGACAGTTTGTTTGCTGCACTACCAACACAAAGTGTACCGCA